TTTCTTTTGGTACTAGGGATTAAATGTAGGGTCTCACTAGGCAAGTGCGGTATCGCTGAGCTACACCTGTGTGCCACTTTATGGCCCACACAGCTGACTGGGGGAAGGCCAATTCCAGACCTTTTCCTTCTACCTCTCCTTGCACATACAAAATCCTCCCAGCTAAGCAGGCTGAGAAGAGAAAGTGACAGAAAGCAGGAGGTGGCTGTGACAGGTGGCTCAATTGTGATGTCAGCCTCCTTCTCCTGTGAGCCAGGGGAGGCAAGGACTGAAGGACTGAACACTATGCTCCTTTATTTTGAGACAAGGTCATGCTTAGTTGCCCAGACTGGCCTCAAACTTATAATCTTCCCGCTTCAACCTCCTGAGTAGCTGGGATTACAGGTGTACAGCACCACATCTGCCTCCTTTGGGGTTTCTGTGACTCAATTTGACAACTTAGCTTAAGGGGTTCATTTGGTCTTTAGCTCTGCCCTGTTCAGCTGTGTGTCCTTGGGCAATTTTTTTAAACCCCTCACATCTGTCAAATTGAGGAGTTTAAATCTTGAAGAGTTCCAATCTTGAAGAGCTGGTTGGTGAACTGAATAAGTTGATGAACATAGTTATTTGAACAACACCTGGCACAAGTAAGAATCTAGTAATGGCTGCTACTGAAGTAATTGTCATCCTTTTGCTCATGTTTTCAATTTGTTTCAGGAACAGGTGAAAAATAATTTCCTTTGCATTTGTTTGTGGTATGTCCTGGACTTTGTGCTCTACCCGGAGCCGCTCAAACCATTAGTTCTTACAGGAAAGTCACCTTTGTGCTGTTTACCCATCCACCACCCCAGTTTCAGGCATTCTTTGAGTTACTTTCTTTAGGTCAATTTGGTTTTGGTTTGTGGTACTAGAGATTGAGCCGGGGTGCTCTACCACTGAGCTATATCCCCAGCTCTTTTCTATTTATTTAAAAATTTTTTTTTTTAGTTGTAGATGGACACAGTACCTTTATTTTATTTCTTTATTTTTATGTGGTACTGAGGATTGAACCTGTTGCCTCAT